AGCAATTGGTCTATAATTCTTATAATCTAGAGATTCCATAATATTTAATTGATTTTATTTATATTTATTTTTTTCGTTTGCATTTCAATAATTATTTGCCACTGATCATTCATATCTTTTATCCTAAACATTTAAAAACAGATTTTAATTGAATAACATAAATTGTTTTTTCTGGAGAGAAAAAATGTAAAGATCAGATGCGTTTAAAATGTTTCTGTGTTCGTACATCCATTTTCAAAATACTTGTACTAGTAAAAATAATTTAGCCGAATTGTGCATTTGATACATATTTCTGGTATGGATTTAAAGTGTAATGATTTAATGTTTTTCTCACATTTAAATATATCAAATATAATGCAAAAGACTTAATATTTTTACAGTAGTTTTTAGTAGTAAACTTTAAATTTTATTATTAATGCAGAACGTGTAAACAAAACAATTATGCACAAACAACATTGAATTGATATTTTTTGTTTTATTTAAAGTAAAATTGACTACTTAATTGGAAAAAGAAAATTTTAGCATTATTTTGCTATGGCAACAAATATTCATATTTTGTTTGAATACGTTGTATTCTATTCAAGTATTATTTGTCAGTTTATTGTCAAATAATTTAATTTAAAATTTTATTTTTGGAATTTTTTAAAAGCTATTTATAAATTTAAAATATATCTACACATCTATTACTTATTATAAAATGAGCATTACATTGACAACATTTATTAAACTATAAAGAAATTTTAACACTGGAGTAGATAAATTACCCAACTTTACTGCCTGTAACCTGGTGTTTTTCTTCTCCTATGCAGAGGACTCTGCAAACGTTTTCGAACCTAATGTGGTTCTTCTTCAACGGTTAATTCTCGACTGAAAATTCATATTCATATAGGGAATTTTATAGCGCCTGAAGAAGAACCACATTAGGTTCGAAAACGTTTGCAAAGTCCTCTGCATTGGAGAAGAACACCGGTTACAGCCAGTGAAGTTGGGTAACAACGTTTATTAATAATACTTTTGAAATTCATGCTTTAAAGAAATAATTATAAATTTATATTATATTACTATATTCTTTATTATACTTTAATTTTTTTTTTAATTTTATTGCATCACTTTAAGAAATTTCTATATACGTAATTGCATCCGTTTTAGCACCTATTTAATTAGTTTCAATCACGACAGCAAATCATATGGATGGCTGTTTCTTTTAAACTATTTGATGAAAACGTTACATAAAATTGGAGTTGCATAATCATTCGAAATTATTATTAGACTATATTTTTGACTGGAAATCACTGGATTTGTGCAATTTTAGTTTAATTAATATCGTATAAAACTGACTGCTCGTACAAGTTTGCTTAAAACATGCGACTCAAAAAACCCCAAAATGGCGGTTCAAGAAGTAGGTCACGCGTGTCCTGACCTTCTTACATAGACCGTATACACGCGCGCCATCTATCGTAGGATAAATGTACTATGCCAGAAACCTTCGCGGGTGTGTATTAAAAAACTTTCCAAAGTTTCATGGCAATCGGATAAACGGTGTCGTAATGCATGAAGGACAGATACACACACACATACACACACATTCATTTTTATACATATAGATTACTTTTTATTCTGTGCCAGCAAGATGATTTTATTACGTACATCTGAATAAATTTTCTTTTTAACGAAGTTTTACATTTAAGAAATATTTTTCCAAATCCGAGGAAAAGAAATTTGCAAAAAACCTTTCCTTTTTTAAAAAAAAAATGCATTTCATCTGACGTAAAACTCGTCACGTGACGCAATGTAACATTCGACCGATTCGAATTCGTTCGATTTCGTATCGCCGGCGCCATTTTGAAATAGAAAGTTTTCTGGAAATTGAGAGTTATTTTTCCCTCCATACCTGACATTTTTCGAAAAAGTTGAATTACATAAACCCGAATAACGCAGGCAATGTAAATTTTTTGATTTATAAGCGATCAAAATTGAATAATTGTCCATAGAACATTAAATATAAATGTCTATTTTTAGATTTAAATTTTCATTAATTTAATGGTGATGTCCCTTCAACTTAACTATCAGAATTATTATTACTGTTTTCACAAAGTTTGAACAAAATATAAATAGGAACAATTTATGACATGAGATGATAATAATATTTGGTAGAGGTAAAATGAACGAACAATCATTTCCTAAAATTCATGTCCATTACTACCCAGAAAATATTCTCCCCATTTTTTTACACCCACATTGGGGGTATAAAATTCTCCTGTCATATACAGGGAAATATTGAATTGAATTCAGGAAACACTTTAACATCTGATTTTGATGTTATAGGAATTCATAAAGTCATGATTTTTCATGAAAGTTTACAATATTTTCAGATATTGTGTTTGTTTAACATCAAAGTTATCTCGGTTGAGTTTTTTTCAACCAATTAAATAATTTCTAGCATTTCTCCCAGCTTAATATTTATATTTATGAGCAACTGAATAGACATAACTCCTGCAAAAACTAATTACTGACGTAAATTTACTTCATAATAACACATGTGATATACACTATTGACAATATTACGTATCCACAGTAACTCCGTCAAACAACCATAAAATCGGTACATTGTTGCCACCTCCACCTTAGACGAACTCAAAAATCTCCGACGATATCGCCAAAAGTAGCCAACTATTCTTCCTCTTTTATTATTTAATTAATTCTGGATTTCCATTCTACATTTAAAAATTTTAAATTTAGCGAGTAAAAATTCGTATTTAAGATTAAGGTTTTATTCTAGAATATTTTATTTATTACTGCGATATTGATAATATATTAATTCTCTTCTGGACCGCCCATAAGAACAAATGCACGCGCATAATCCATTCAGTAGGACAGTATTTCCATATTCATATTGAAAGCTAACTTATCGGGTTGCCTTTAAGGTTTTCTGGTCTTACGTTTAGGAATATTACGGCAGTTATTCGCCTAAATAATCCGGTTGCAAAATTCTAAAATATACGAATATACTTAAATTCAAACTTCAATTTTTAATTGATATATTGTATTTATAACACACGTAAAAACAGTTTAAATAAAAACCAACACATTTAATAGAAAAATATTAAAATTTAGTTAACATTTAAGCGAGACATTAACACAATCTCAGATAAGTTCTAATTCAGTTTTATATCTTAAATTTAATACATAAAATTAATAATGATATACAATGTAAAATTGTTATCTTCTTTAGATAATACAGGTATAATTTAACTTGTATTATTTATGATATATAAAATAATTATATTTGATATATTATCACGAAAACAATAACACATTTTTGATAGACAGCATGACACACAAGTGCTGTCATATCAAAAATACCATTTTGGCAAAGGGGCCACAAATGCATAAACAAGTTCAATCATACAAAACAACTATACATATACTATTACAACGCAATTGAAAATACCAGTCTGAGTGATATAACATGAAAAACGAATTTACACAATATAATTCTCATAAGTGACGCAATAATAAAAAAAACACCATATAATCAGGAAAAAATCAAAACACCGAAAAATATATTTACACACGACATTTATTCATTGATTAAATAGCCGACCGGCTTTAATTGCCAGTTGGTGAATTAGAGGTGGGTCCAACAAACGCGACACGTCCCCAAAACGCCTAGACAGTGACACCAACCGTTTGGAGTGCCGACGCGGCTATGATGCCCATTAGTGGGACAAAGGCGGGTTCCTACGGACACGACGTGTTCCCAAAACATTTAGACAGTGACAGTAACCGTTTTGAGGGCCAACGCGGCTGTCATTTAGCCCAAACTCTGCGTGGAGAGAATTTTGCAGCAAATTAAATAAAAAAGATTTATCGACAACACCCTATGAAATTATATTTAAGAAAAGAAACAAAACTCATATACCCATCATTCTAGAAGATGATCAGACGATTATATAGAAAACAATATAAAGAAAATATTAGATTATCACTTTCCAGAAGACAACACAAGTACAGACTTGGAGGTTCACAGAGAAACAAAAATACAAGCTATGCAAAACTCCTTAGACGAATCTGCAAAGCTATTTACATTCCTGGAAGTTTAAAAAGCAATTAATACTTTAGCGAACAAAAAGATTCCAGGACTTGATCAAATAACTGCTGAAATGATCAAAGAAATATATAAAGGAATCTCCATTGTTATAGTTTACTTATATAACGAATGTTTAAGACTGGGATACTTTCTAACAGCGTGGAAAAAGGTGAACGTGAAATTTATATCTAAAACCGTAAACCTCAACAAATCAGAAGAATATAGACCAATATGCTTACTCCCAGTAATGGGAAAAATATTAGATGGACGCATTATTAAAAGAGTTATCTGGCATTAATACAAAAATAAATAAAGAAATGAAAACCAATATGGTTTTAGACAGGGAGTATCAACAATAGACGCAGCATCAAGAGCGAAAGAATTTGTTAATACAGCATGGGGGAAAGGAAAACATGTCATCTTAATAAAAATAGATTTTCAAAAGGCATTTGACCACATGTGGTGGCCAGGAATAATGAAACATATAAATGAAATTAAGTGTCCAAAAAACATCAAAGATATTTTTCAAGATTATTTGACTAATCGACAAGTAGGATTCTACTCCAAGAGCACAACTATCATCAAATAAATAAATAGAGGATGCCCACAAGAGTCTAGAAGTGGGCCAGGACTATGGAATTTAGAAATGGACAGTTTACTAAACAAAATTCCAGACACCGACGACAGTAGAATCCAAGCATTCGCGGATGACGCACTTCTCATGATATCAAACCAAAACTGTCATAGACTTAGAGACGAAGCAAGTAAGATACTTAAAGAAATTTATGAATGGAGTATTAATTATAAACAACCTATCAACTTTAACAAATGCGGGGCGGTAGTATGTACCCGAAAAAATAAACGAAATCAACTGAAGAAACCCATAGGAATAAAAATTGGTGGTAAAAATATAAAAAAAAATGTTCCTTATATAATACCTTGGAATATATTTTGACAGACAAATGAATTGCAAAATACACATAGAAGAAACATACAAAAAGTGATAGAACGTGCAAACTTATTAGAACATACTGTATAATTAAAAATACTTGGGATATGAGTTCGAAAAACACAAGACTGATCTACAAAGAGGCTATCCAGCCGGCAGCATTCATAGCAAAATATCTCATCTAGGAAAGGAATCTAATAAAAGAAAACTTACAAAGAAAAACCAAAGAAGAAATTAACAGAAATTAACAAAGGAAAACTTCCAAACGACATAAAGATGATAGAAGCCATTATAGAAAATGAAACAGAAAATATAGACAAATCAAAAACACTGAGTGACCCAGCAGAAATAGAACCATATAGAGTTCATATGGATGACCAAGAAAATACCACGAAACAAAAGAGTTTTAAAATAATACTGACGGTTCGAAAACACCATCAGATGTAGGTAGCGGAATAATCATCATAGATGAAAACAATAGAACTCAATACCAGGCTTCTATGAAGATTGCAAACTATTGCACTACGATGCAAGCAGAAATGTATGCGGTTTATAAAGCTCTCACATACATCAATAAAAGGAACAATCGTCCAAGCAAACAATTGAATATTTACACTGACAGTAGAGCAACACTACATATCCTGGAAAACAAGAATAGAAAAAACAGGCTCACACATGAACTCATCAACATCTCCGAAGAAGTTAGCGAAAAAATTAAAATCACTTACAACTGGGTTCCAGGACATACAGGACATCAATGGAACGAAAAAGCCGACAAACTGGCTAAGGGAGCTGCCAGTATCAACATTCCAATAGCCTACAAAAGAATACCAATAACACAAATAAAAAAGAATATAAAAAACATTACAGAAGAACTATGGCAAGAAGAGTGGAATACGTCCTCTACAGGAAGACATTGCCACAAATTTTTTTCCAAAGATAAAAGACAGATTTCAAAATAAACACTTTAAGCTATCATTTGGTGTGACTCAATGTCTAACGGCACACGGAAACTTTAAGTCTTAACTTACTTGTACCAACAACCAATATTGTGAAGTGGATACCAGCCATGAAGACAATGTATTTCACTACCTATTTGAGTGCCCCAAATTCAACAAAGAAAGAGACAACTTTATACAAAAGTGCCTCATGGCGGGCTTCAATTTGCCACCTAAAGACATGGACCTTGTGAACAACAAAACTTTATTCACCGCATTAGAGAAGTACATCAACGATACGAAAATTCTCATTGAAATAAACTACACAAGAAAACCACGATAGAGAAAAAAGCGATGAAAGTGAAATTGAAGAAGAAAGGGACGAAGAAAGAGAAGAAAGTGACGACACCGAAAATACATCCGACCGAAACGACGAATGAACTTTACTCACTGTGATAATGCTCAAGTGCAGCATTAAACATAGGAATCATTGATATTTGTTATCTAACTATAGAAATAATTCACAGCTATAACATAAAAAAACTTATTGTAATCCAAATTAATTAAATCCACGAGATGCGGACAATATATTTGGAATATTATAAATACGTATTATATTAACTTATTCTGTATACTATTTATAACTATGTTTAAAAATTTTTTAAATTAGAAACAAAACCTAAAAATTAGTCATGCAAGTTTCATTTGTAATTTTATAATGATTATATATTATTTAAAGATAATTCGTTTCACGTCATATGACAGAAAGCCAATGATAGTTGGAAAAGAAAGATTGCACTAGGCAACAACACGTGGTTGCAATACGTGTTGATGAAATTACGGTTCAAAGTCAAAAATTACTTATTACAGCTGATAGAGAGAGAAGTTAGAATGAAAGTTGTTTTTCTGTCATATAAAATAAGGTGTGAAAGTTAATTGTTTCATAAAACAGGTAAGAAATAAATCATATTAAATAATTATTTATGAATTATAAATTTAAAATTCATATAACAGTAAAAATATAAGCATCTACTTATAAATCTAAAATGTAAATACTGTAAATATAGATATTAAAAATCGTATTGCTATAATTTCATTTTAAAAATGTTTTATCTTTCAACATAAATAAAATTATAACGGGTGAAACGAATTATTTTAAATTTGCTTTTAACAATACTTAATTCTTTTTAATACTAAGAAATGTTGATTGAAGTACAGTAGAGCGTCGTTTATCCGAATCAATTGGGAATTTGATAACTTATTTTTCGGATAACCGATTATGTACGAAAAAATACATTAACCTATCCCATCCTGAAATTTTTCTCCGTTGCGTGTCGCTTTGCGTTGAATTTTCGTCGATGTTAAGCCTAACGTAAACTTTTTAAAATAATAATCGTGGCTATTGTATCGTTAAAAATTATTTCTTTATTTTGTACAAACAAAATAAATATATTGAAAAATATAAAAACAATAAAAAGTTATACTTCAGAAGTTAATTTAGTATCAAAAACGTAAAATATTTGAGTAGCGCAAGACGTAGCCAAAGATTGCAGCGCCACAGCACTAGCGAAAATTTAAATTTGCCAACTGGAATTCTTTCGGATAACCGACTTTCGGATAAACGACGCTCTACTGTATTNACTTTTAAAATGTTAATGTAAAATGTCATATTATTTATGCAAAACATATCGGTACCAATAACGAAATGATATTAATTTTGTCAGACGTCTTTACTAATGTCCCTGTTGGGAGAGATTCCAATTACTTCCGGTATAGTGTCCGTGAAAGGAAAGATCGCTTACGCTTCTCAAGAAGCTTGGGTGTTCAACGCAACTATCAGAGAAAACATCTTGTTTGGAGAAAAATATCAAGAAGAGAAATATAGAAAAATTTTGCATATAACGGCTCTAGAAAAGGTAAAATGATTTTTACTCTTAAAAGCTATACTTTCGATTTGTTACAGTCGATCCTCCTGTAACACTGTTGATTATTCCGTTTTATATGAATTCCATGTTGTACGAGTCACTTAGATTTTACAAATACGTGAGCCATTTACAAACTGGCACACGTATTTGTAAAATCTAAGTGACTCGTACAACATGGAATTCATATAAAACAGTATAATCAACAGTGTTATGGGGGGTCGACTGTATTTTTCAATTAGAAAAATTGCCAAATTATTTGATATAGCATTCCGTTTAAAAATTTTAACTAACTAAATTAATAGATAAATAAACGAAGTTTCTAGATGATATAAACCGAAATATTTTCTTTCATTTAGTACTGAAAATTAATAACAGAGTTAAGTTTTAGAAAGATGAAGGTTAAAAAATTCGAAAACAAAGAAAATGTACTGGAAACAGAAGATTCCATGATACAAAAGGAAACTTCCACATCTCTATTGGAAATTTGTGCAACACAAATGGAAGCAATCGCAAATGATTTCGAAACAAATTTGGTAAGGTTAACTTTATTATTATTATTAGCAATATAGATTTTGTTAAAACTTGTTTGAGGATGCTATTCCTATATTCCTAAAGAAGTGTTAAGAGAATCTTAACGTGGTTCTAGGCAAAAGGAAGATTCTAGTAGAACAGTTTCTATAGTATTCTCAATGAGCTGCTGATTACATGCAAATCGACATTCAGAAGAACCTTCCAAAACTGAATTTAAACAATTAGCTGTGAATACTGTAAGATTACTAAGGAAACGAAGGAGAGATGAAAAATGAAATATTAATATTTATAATAATAAAAGTTTAAATGTTAACTTAAACTAAAAATATGATATGTTTATTAATTTTATATAGTAATATGATGATAATAAAATAAATATATTTATTGTATTTATTCTGATAAAGGATTAACTAATGATAATATTCTACAAATCAACGATACAGTGTTTCTGAAACTAGAGTCCGCAGACTAAGTTTGTTGGTCTGAAATTTTCAAAAGATATCCAGAATATGAATATATTTTCCTAAAAATATGATGACAGTATACAACGAGTTTCATTAAAAAATATTACTTATTTTTGATACGATTGATATGCACACAAGCCGTATTCAAGCGTACCACTCTTTCTTGTCTTCTGCGATCCATCTAACGAGTAAGATCATCTATCCAAGTTCAACTTGTAGGCTATACGCAAAAACAATCAGTAAGATAAAAGATAGTTTTCAATTTAACCCAGTTTTGTTTCTCAAGGACGAAACAACGGATGATATGAAACGATTTTGAATATTTTATTAGCCACAACTAACAGGCAAATCGGCGGAAGCAATACTCTTAAAGACATACAAGCTGCAAAAAATGTGAAGCTGTCCATGTAATGCAGCATTTAATGAGGAGTGCTTAAAGCTGTGGGAAAATGGCATTAAATACTGTCCTGTCCTAACAGACCAAACACCTTATATGCTCTCAGCTTTCGGGAATTTAAAATTAATATTTATCAACTTAAATTACATTTCATGCATAGTACACGCCCTTCATTTGGTGTGTAAATCAGAATGTCTTAAATCAAAACATGTTTATTTCAGAAATGAAAAAATTTTTTAATGAAAACATTATCAAGAATCGCTGTGTACCATGAAATAACACAATTTCCCCTATCACCTGATCCGAACATCACAAGGTGAGAAACATGGATGAGGGCTGATTTATTACGAAAATTTTGGGAAAATAACTTACTCTGAATGTAGAAGATTCTGATTCTACTGCAGTTGGTCAAATTATTAAGAACGTAGTTTTCGGGAAGACTGTATGCTGTATATTGACACAAATTCGTTGTTGATGCAATCACCGAATTAGAAAGGAAACATCTTCAAAAAGAAAAGCAGTGGAAACTGTTTTTCTTTAGTATGAGAAAAGTTAGGTGAATTTGCCAAGCAAAAACTTTTTGCTAAGAATTCAGAATTAATTAAAGACGGTCGTAAAACGCAACGATTTAGAATTTCGTGTTAAGATTAAGTACAGTATCTGCCGCTAACATACGTGGACGTTGGACAATCTTTTTTACATAAAGATATTCTTTTATGTAAACTCAGATAATATACATTTGAAAATTTGGAAACTTTTTTTAGCAGTGTAAAATGCAATCTTTAGTCACAAGACTAGTTTTTATAGGCCTATAGTTTTTTGTTGAGGAAAAAGCATTTCCATTCATACGCTTGCTTTGTTATTGCGTAAATCCAGCCCTGTATGTTCCTTATGTTTTGGTTTGCTTAAAATATATTTTGTTTGTCTCCTTAGATTTTTTCAGGTAATTTAAATTTATTTATTTTAATGAATTAATTCGAACAGATGGAGAATATATTGAAGTCTGTCTCGTGTCAAAGCTTAGATTTAACGAATGAAAATCTTCCAAAGTCAGGTAAACTTTATAATCGTATTAACAATGTGTTAGATTCTTTATCACTTATGCAAAATATATTTTTATGTACAGTCGACCCCTCTATAACACTGTCGATTATTCCGTTTTATATGAATTCCATGCTGTACGAGTCACTTAGATTTTACAAATACCTGTGCCGGGCTGTGAACGGCTCACGTATTTGTAAAATCTAAGTGACTCGTACAGCATGGAATTCATATAAAACGGAATAATCGACAGTGTTATAGGGGGTCGACTGTATATCACATTGCTATAGTTATAACATTTTGTTAAATGAAATTATATATAATTACTTCAGTAACGATGTTTTAAAATTTTCTTTTAAATTCAGTTGTAGTTAAAAACTTTAAAAGTCAAATAAAAAATCAATATTATGTGTTTACTGATGAACAGAAGTTAAAATTCAGAGAATATAAACTTAATTATTAAAAACTAAAAAAAATTAATTTAGTATAATTATATTTATTTATAATTTTAAGTATTATATTTTAATATTAGAGAGGAAACAAATTGATAGTGAAGATGGAGAGATAGAAAATGAGGAAAAGATTTCGAAGAATGGAGAATGTTCGATTACATTATCCAAACCAGGCATTTCTCGAATTAATGATTTTATTATCGTATCAGTCTTGTTTGTTGTTTTTTGCACAATAGCAACAATTAAAATATTTTCAGAAACGACCTATCATGAAGGTATAAAACATTTATTAAAGATGTGTTCATAATATAAATATAAGGTGTAGCCTAGAAATAATAGGGAAAAGTTACAAAATGTTATTATTTTGGTTATTAATTGATAATTATTTTCATGACAGATTTCAAAATTCTCAAATAAACAGAGGTTAAAGTTGTGGAAAACTAGGTAATGTCACTCACTTAAGGGAGAACTGATAGAACATACTTAAATTTAAAGAAATATTTATTAAAGAAAGATAACATTAAAGTATAGTGAACAATTTGTTGCAATGTATTGTAAATAATAAAATATTTTATTATTTAATGTAGAATACTACATATTAAATGATAATATTCGACATAGTAGGGTAATGACACTTGTTTCGACTCGTGATTTTAGTACAACAGTATTCACATTTGTAGCTATTTGTGTTGTCCACACCATTGCAATCGTTATAAAATCAATCTCTACACATTATGCATCAGAAACAAATTTCATTGTTATTTCCAAATTCTCTACAAATACTGTTACAGCATATTTCTTCTTCCATATCTCCTTCCAAGGAAACAAATTATCTAAGTCTTCACCACCAAACTGCGGTATATCAGTCTTTTGAGTTGTTATTTAATAATTTCTTTGTCGTCAAAAATAAACTTAAGTATAACAAAGAATTTAGTATGACGGAAACTCTTCTTGAAACTAAATTCAGATGATTCGTAGTTGGCGTAACACACACACGCACACGCACACACACACACACAAAATTACGAATGCAGAGCTAAATATATGCAGTTTATATACATAATATTTAGAATTAACAATTTAAAAATAACGGTGTACTTGCTTTCAGATGAAATATTGTATTTAGTTTTTTAAAAATTAACGTAAAAATAGGACTACAACGAAATACGAACATTGATTCTGAAAGCGGTCATTTTTTTTTTTACTGGGAACATAGCTTTGATAGGTAACAATATCACGCGTTTGCAATTTATTCTCTTTCGCGATACCTGGAGTGAGCGGAATTACCAATCATTACACTACTTTTCCTTAATAATTCTGTGATGATAACTGTAGATATATGTACTGACTTAAAGGAAGTATTTTGTACAATTGTAATTATATTCTGTTATGATTTATGCGTATAAATAATGTGTTCTATATATTCATACCTTTTATCTGCATACATTATATTCTGCTAATAAAATTTCTGTACTAAAATTGAAATCTTTAATTATCCTATTACTGTACAATCAGTTCTAAAAGTTTGAGGTTGTGAAATGAAAAATTCTTGTATTAAACATCCCAAATTTCATTTTATAACCAATAAGGTTTCAAATTATTGAACTATTTTNGTTTCTGAAAATATTTTAATTGTTGCTATTGTGCAAAAAACAACAAACAAGACTGATACGATAATAAAATCATTAATTCGAGAAATGCCTGGTTTGGATAATGTAATCGAACATTCTCCATTCTTCGAAATCTTTTCCTCATTTTCTATCTCTCCATCTTCACTATCAATTTGTTTCCTCTCTAATATTAAAATATAATACTTAAAATTATAAATAAATATAATTATACTAAATTAATTTTTTTTAGTTTTTAATAATTAAGTTTATATTCTCTGAATTTTAACTTCTGTTCATCAGTAAACACATAATATTGATTTTTTATTTGACTTTTAAAGTTTTTAACTACAACTGAATTTAAAAGAAAATTTTAAAACATCGTTACTGAAGTAATTATATATAATTTCATTTAACAAAATGTTATAACTATAGCAATGTGATATACAGTCGACCCCCTATAACACTGTCGATTATTCCGTTTTATATGAATTCCATGCTGTACGAGTCACTTAGATTTTACAAATACCTGTGCCGGGCTGTGAACGGCTCACGTATTTGTAAAATCTAAGTGACTCGTACAGCATGGAATTCATATAAAACGGAATAATCGACAGTGTTATAGGGGGTCGACTGTATATCACATTGCTATAGTTATAACATTTTGTTAAATGAAATTATATATAATTACTTCAGTAACGATGTTTTAAAATTTTCTTTTAAATTCAGTTGTAGTTAAAAACTTTAAAAGTCAAATAAAAAATCAATATTATGTGTTTACTGATGAACAGAAGTTAAAATTCAGAGAATATAAACTTAATTATTAAAAACTAAAAAAAATTAATTTAGTATAATTATATTTATTTATAATTTTAAGTATTATATTTTAATATTAGAGAGGAAACAAATTGATAGTGAAGATGGAGAGATAGAAAATGAGGAAAAGATTTCGAAGAATGGAGAATGTTCGATTACATTATCCAAACCAGGCATTTCTCGAATTAATGATTTTATTATCGTATCAGTCTTGTTTGTTGTTTTTTGCACAATAGCAACAATTAAAATATTTTCAGAAACGACCTATCATGAAGGTATAAAACATTTATTAAAGATGTGTTCATAATATAAATATAAGGTGTAGCCTAGAAATAATAGGGAAAAGTTACAAAATGTTATTATTTTGGTTATTAATTGATAATTATTTTCATGACAGATTTCAAAATTCTCAAATAAACAGAGGTTAAAGTTGTGGAAAACTAGGTAATGTCACTCACTTAAGGGAGAACTGATAGAACATACTTAAATTTAAAGAAATATTTATTAAAGAAAGATAACATTAAAGTATAGTGAACAATTTGTTGCAATGTATTGTAAATAATAAAATATTTTATTATTTAATGTAGAATACTACATATTAAATGATAATATTCGACATAGTAGGGTAATGACACTTGTTTCGACTCGTGATTTTAGTACAACAGTATTCACATTTGTAGCTATTTGTGTTGTCCACACCATTGCAATCGTTATAAAATCAATCTCTACACATTATGCATCAGAAACAAATTTCATTGTTATTTCCAAATTCTCTACAAATACTGTTACAGCATATTTCTTCTTCCATATCTCCTTCCAAGGAAACAAATTATCTAAGTCTTCACCACCAAACTGCGGTATATCAGTCTTTTGAGTTGTTATTTAATAATTTCTTTGTCGTCAAAAATAAACTTAAGTATAACAAAGAATTTAGTATGACGGAAACTCTTCTTGAAACTAAATTCAGATGATTCGTAGTTGGCGTAACACACACACGCACACGCACACACACACACACAAAATTACGAATGCAGAGCTAAATATATGCAGTTTATATACATAATATTTAGAATTAACAATTTAAAAATAACGGTGTACTTGCTTTCAGATGAAATATTGTATTTAGTTTTTTAAAAATTAACGTAAAAATAGGACTACAACGAAATACGAACATTGATTCTGAAAGCGGTCATTTTTTTTTTACTGGGAACATAGCTTTGATAGGTAACAATATCACGCGTTTGCAATTTATTCTCTTTCGCGATACCTGGAGTGAGCGGAATTACCAATCATTACACTACTTTTCCTTAATAATTCTGTGATGATAACTGTAGATATATGTACTGACTTAAAGGAAGTATTTTGTACAATTGTAATTATATTCTGTTATGATTTATGCGTATAAATAATGTGTTCTATATATTCATACCTTTTATCTACATACATTATATTCTGCTAATAAAATTTCTGTACTAAAATTGAAATCTTTAATTATCCTATTACTGTACAATCAGTTCTAAAAGTTTGAGGTTGTGAAATGAAAAATTCTTGTATTAAACATCCCAAATTTCATTTTATAACCAATAAGGTTTCAAATTATTGAACTATTTTTAATATAATTACAAGAAAATTAAAAAAAAATAATAATAATAAAATAAATTCTTTACATTAAAAAAGAAAATTGTTACTTTACGATAAACAGTGATTTAAAAATAAACGTATTCCTTTAATAAAACACAAAACAAAAATTTTCTTGCAACGATAAATACAATTATTATTTCCTTTTATAAATGAAAAATAACGTTTATTATATTTTGTAAATACTGAATCGATAATAGATTACTGATAGATTAGTAATGACCTATTGTAATTCACCTGTCTTGTGTTTCATCTTCACTAGTTGGTATGATTTCACATTACATTCTAATGTAGTTCTTTCTAGCTCTGTTTTATGGTTTTCTTGCTTTAATTTTATCTGTATTATGCATATTAGATAGTTGTGTACAATATCTCATTTTTCATGAATTTGATGAAAAACGAAATAATTACATCTTTTTCAGTTTGTCCTCACTAACTTCGTACTTTTGATAAAATATAAATAGTGAAATGTAGAAATTTTTAGGATTTATGTGATTATAATTAAAATTTAATTATTCTTATAAATATATCAAATATTTCAGAAACAATTGGACAATCTTCCTTCAACCTAAATATAATTGACATCCTGTTACTACTAGCGATTGCTATCGCTTCTTGTTTTGGATTTTTAATATATTATAATGGATATATAAGTGGTAAGATTTTAAAACTTTCTATATTAACGCATACATTATTATCATTTTTATTATTCTATTTTTATATTATTATTTAGACAGGGATCCTCTGAAAAAAAAACAAGTAAGTTAAAAAAGAAATATGGAGAAATCAATTCGTTTGAGCGTCATAATCTTTCGTATGACAGTTCTTACGGCATTCCTTTCGAAAACTATGTTAATAATTTAAAAGTATCGAAGAATAGTGGGAAAATTCTTTAAGAAATGAAATATCTTTATTAGAACAAATATTTACCATTAAAAGAATTTCTAGTCAAAAGCAATTTATACTGGTAACTGGAAAACCATTTTTTGGTAAAACAACATTGGTTAGAAGATTGGCATACGATTGGTCTACAAGAAAGAGTCTTCATCACTTGTCACGATACGACATATTAATTGTCATTCAGTTACGAGAATTAGGGAACAGAACGATTACTGAGGCCATTACAGAAACCATTTTAGGAACTAGAGATGAAAATTCAATTAACGCCATCGTGAAATCGAAATTAAACTTTCTCATTCTGTTAGATGAATACGATAACATGGTTAAGAAGCAATTGTTCTTAGATTTTCTACGGTCATCAATAAATAATCCTTCACCGAAAATGACGGTCGTCTTAACAAGTAACGAAAAGGTTTCAAAAACAATCAGAATTAAATTAGATTGGCATTTTTCTTTGATTGGTTTGAAGCAAGAAGATCAGATAAGTTACGTGGAATAAGTGTTTGCTGACGATGTGGAGAAAGGGAAAAGGATGAAAGAAATATATAACTTGGTCTTTCTGGAAGATTTAACAATATGCCCACAAATGATGAATATTTTATGCAGTATTCATAAACACGAGGAAGAATTTAATGTAACAATAACGACTTTATATATCAAAATAATTGAAATGCAAATTCATAGATATTGGTCAAAATACGGTTATAATTATTTGCCGAAAGAAATCACCATTCATGGAAAGCGAGAAACTGTTATTGCGATTGGGGAAAATAATATTCGAAAATCTAATTAACGATAAACATTTTGTTCTCGAAAAAGATTTTAAAAAAGAATTTTCCAACGAACATGAATTTGAAATTATTTCACAGTTAAATATCGTTCCTGTCACAAATTTTGGAGACGATATAGTAATTTCTACTTTTCATCAGATGTTGATCGAATTTTTTGCGGCCTTCTATGTATTTAATTTAGAACAGGGGTGTCCAACCTTTTCGTTACTCTGGGCCGCATTGGAAGAAGTCATGGAGTTTTGGGCCACAAGTATACATAATATATAGGGGAGATCGGGGCAAGATCGGCATGTTAAGCTTTACTTAAATTTTGTGTAATAAATACTGCTGTAAACTGAAAAAAAAGCTTTGCATATTGTCTATTGGAATGTTACCTTACTATAGAACTGGTTAAAATCAGTTTGGAAATAAAAATAATTAAAATAATTACAACTTTACAAGAAGAGAGAAATTGACGAAGTTGCCCCGGGTATAGGGGCAAGATCGGCAACT